GTGGACATTGCAATACCTGGAGACAGCAGAATAGAAGAGAAAGAGCTGGAGAAAATCACAAGATACAAAGACCTTCAAATAGAAATAGAACGACTATGGCAAAAGAAAGCAAAGATAGTACCAATAGTAATAGGCGCCTTAGATGCAATTCCCAAACATCTGGAGCACGACTTGAACACTGACAAAATGTGTTGTCATTCACAAAACTACCATCAGTCAATTGCAAAAGGCAGCTTTACTTGAAACTGCTTATATCCTGCAACGATACCTTTAATATTATTGAACAACAACATCAGCCTATCCCAGGTCCCTGGGAAGGACTCAATAGGTAGACAAAAATGCCAAATCCAGTCTAAACATCTGGCTGACTGTGCAACCAACCATAATAATACAGTAGTAGTAGTAGTAGTAGTTGTTGTTTTGGAGTTTGAAGAAGCAGGATAGGAAGAGCATTGATGCCTTTGAACTTTGGTGCTGGAGAAGACTCCTGAGAATACTGTGGACAGCCAAGAAAACAAACAAATGGATCACCAAACAAATCAACTCAAGGCACAAATGACCAGACTCAAATTATCCTACATTATTAGGATACATTATTAGATACATTATTCGAAGACCTAGTTCTCTGGAGAAGACTCGAATGCTAGGAAAGGTGGAAGGAAAGAGAAGATGACCAGCAGCAAGGTGGATGAAATCAGTTACCATGGTGATGAGTGCACCATTGGAAGACCTGAAAAACCAGGTTAGCGACAGAATGTCATGGAGAAAAATCTACCTATGTGGTCACAAGGAATCAAAAACAACTTGATGACACACAATCAATCAATCAAATAATAGTTTAACAGACATGACTTCCACAAGGCTAGGTGAGAACGTATTTCATAAGTGATGAAAAATATTTTCAAGGACAGCCATCTGGCACAGAATCCAGCAAAATCACACTTCCTGTCATGCAAACATAAGAGACAGAGGAAAAGCTGGGCACAAAGAGAGGCCTGACATGCTTCTTTGAGCTTTAGCATATTGGGTGAACCCAGCTACTATGGTTCATAAACCATGCCTTATGGCTAGATGTATTGGGTTATCTCAGCTAATGGTGGTTTATTCAATAAACTCTAGTTAAACTAGCTATAACTTAGCACTATGTGTGAATCAGGCCAGTGTCCTACAGAATCAGATCAAAGATCTCTCAGAGGAGCATCCTGTTTCTTTATCAGTAGCTAGTCTGGGAAGCTCATAAGCAGGACAGAAGCACCAATAGGCTCTTCCCACTCATGTACTACCCCAACTATATTCAGATGCAGAGCTTTTCTGAATAGAGAAATAGCTTGGGACCATCACAACAGCCTTCACCTCCAAAGGCCTAATTTCCTTTTAAAGTTATGGTCATCACCACACCTTGGTGCAGAGAATTTCACAGTTTAGCTAGGCCTACTGGTCTGTTAGGCATCTTCTACTGACTAGTAGGACCCTCTGGTTCTCCTATTGTAAGAATAGAACACTTGCCACAATTTTACATATCACTATTATGCCAACACTTCAGCAATCTACTATTCCCTTTCTCCCTAACGTTTATCAAACCTATCTTTTTTCTGGCATACTAGTCTTCTATGGGCAGTAATTTTATTCTACAATTACACTGAAATGCATGGTACTGGATATATATTATATCTACATAAACTACAAAGCAGCAGCAAAAGCTGGCTTCCCAACATATGCATACACTATACATGTAAAAAGCATATGTAATTATAATGTGCTAGCCCGTGCACATGTGGATCAAGCCATGGGCAAGAAAATGGTGGGGAAGACCAGACTGTAATGGGACTATCCAACCACTCAATTTCACTATACACTTGCTTATTGTTTCATGCCCCAACTACTGCTTCATATACAGATACAGTATCACCACTCCTCCCCCAATTGTCGGCTGATAGGTAAAGATCAATACATTACCGCTGCTATGTATGCTCCATACTTCAATAACATAATAAGCATCTTGAGAAAAGTGCAAGAAGGTAGAAGAGAGAAAGAAGTAACAAATATGGAAGGATGCAAATATCTGAAAGGGCAGGCTAAAATAGACATGAAGATATTGGGTACAAAAAGTCCCATGTTCCCCTCTCCAAAAAATTGCTGTCTGCCACTATGAAGCAAAGAGACACATGTTTTTAATATCAGAACTAGAAAGTGAACTGCCACAGGCTGGGTTTGAACGCAGCTGACAGTGCAGGGAGACCCAGGTTCTAGTCAATCCCTTAGCTTTGTAACCTACCTCACGAGATGCTTTCTCAAGCACATTCTCAAGATGCTTATTATGTTATTGAAGTATGGAGCATACATAGCAGCGGTAATGTATTGATCTTTACCTATCAGCCGATAATTGGGGCAGGAGTGGTGATACTGTAGGAGGGAGCGTTATGTACATTGCCTCGAAATGACTGAAATGAAAGGCAGGTTATAAATCCAACAAAATAAATTAATAGCCAAGCTAGAACCATTATGTCAACCAGTATTCAATGCCTGTACACTTGGGCCTCAATGGTAATTTCTCATGGTTAGTCACACAGACCCTGTTTCCACCTCTTCAGAATTCTGGCTTATCGTGATCAACAGGCATGGTGTTATCTGTTCTTCTTTGGTTCCCTGTCACCAGGAGGAATTAAACTGAGAACCTCTGGCTGTAGTTTGTCTACCATTACATCTGAATCAGGCTCTCTGATCTACAACTCTCCAAATAAGGCAGAGCTATTCTTTAAGATTCTGGCTTATTACCCTGCTGCCTCTAGAACAAGGAGCCACACATCACCCTCTGTAAATGGTCATATTTGGCCATGACAAGCAAGCCTGTTTAAATGCTTATTTACAGAATAGTTGACAAATCTGCAGGCAAAAAAAAAGAAAATCTAAGGATGTGCTACATCTCCAAAACCCAGATAAGGAACCATGGTTTCATTTATCATCTATCATCCGGGGGGGGGGGGGCGGCAACCACACTTCTCCAGGGAGGAAACCCCATCATTGCAAATCATTGTCCTTTAATTTTAAGGCCAATTAAAAGGTCAATTGGATGCAAAGCCCTTCTGGAACATGCAGTTAGAGGAGGATATATCATGCCTTTCACTGTGTAGTAGTGTAACTCCTTAAAGGCAACCTTTTGCCACTTTACTGTGTGTCACTTGGCATGAACTTTCAGTCCACTTTATTTATTAAATTCCAGTTCCGGTATCTGTACAGGAGCTTAAGATGGCATGCACAGCGATCCCTCCTCCAATTTGTTTTCCCACAACGACAACCTGTAAGATTTATTAGTTGCTGAATCCCTTAATCGGCCACTTAAGTGGGCAGATGGTTGGGATTTCCCTCCCCCCCCCATTATAATGTCCCACAACCCACAAAATGGGCTCTCTCCCCACAATCGAATCTGGAATGTCCAAATTACTGATACGTGGTAACTTGTTTCGGAAAGGCACTCTGTATACGCTCTGGGACACTTTTTTTTTTTTTTTAGCAGTTCTGAGGTGGATGTCCGACTGGGAGACAAAAGCAATCCAAGGACGAGGCAATCCTTGCCAACCAGACACAGGCAAAGCGGATCCTGACTTTCGGCTGGGGCAAGCGGTCCCGAGAGGGCTGATGCCCCGCGCCTCTTCTCACCTCCAAGTAGCGCCTTTCCAAGGCGGCAATCGACTCCCGCTCCAGTTCCCACTCCGGCTTCTTCTGTTTGCGATGCTGCCGCAGCTTGTCTTTGCGTTTGGCGTACCTCTTCTTCCAGCGCTCGAAGTTGCGCACCGGGTCGGTGCTTAACCCCGGCGCGGCTCTCCGGCTTTGCTCCATCGCTTCTCCGCGAAACCGGGGACTCGAACACGCTGCCAGCAGAGAGAACGCGACGCAGAAGGATCCGGGCGCACAGAGATGACATCACCGGCAGACTCCTCCCCCCTGCAGGAGGGGAGCCGTGTCTGTGCTTGCCCTGAGCTGGAAAACGGAAGCTCCGCCTAGAAACTCTGTGCCGGCTCGTGCCTCGCAGTGATTGGCTGCGCGCCGTTGCTTTTTATATTACTATGGATACTGTTTGTTCAGGTTCTTAGTACTGGATTGTGTGGAATCGGATGTTGTGCACCGCAGCCATGTAGGATCTGATTATCGTCCACGTTATTGTGTTGCATCTGAGATTGTGCACTACAGCCATGTAGGATCTAACTATTGTGCGCATTATGGTCTTGCATTTTATGATTGTGCACTACAGCTATGCTTCATTGGAGAGGGAAGATCACACAGATATCGGTGGAGGCAGAATATATAATTTGAAGTGGGGCTACCTCCTGCAAGCTCTGGAGGTAGAAAAGCTAAGCAGGGCTGGACCTGGTTAACATTTGAATGGGAGACCACCAGAAATAGAACAGGGAAGTCAAAAAACTTCACACTGATGTCAAACCACTTCCATATTGTTAACAAGAAAGCTTTATGGATGTGCCCATGTAATCAGCTGGAGTTTAGCTCTAGGTAGTCTTTACTTATTTATTCTTTACAACCCAAAGGAAGTATGGAAAGGAATGTAAAGTAGTTGTAGTCAGTGCAACTTTATTACATGCTTATAACAAAGCACAGCGTAGACCGGGAATAAAACAGGAATTGATAACAGTAACATGTTACAATCCATCATTTAAAAAAGAGGGTAAGGACTTTGCCTTCTCAGCAGAATAAATCTGAAAACTGAAGAGAAATAGGTCCAGATTTGGTATGGCAAGAGAAGCTGGCCAAAGAAAGATGGGGGCTGCAGAGAAAAAGATGCCTCACTACTGGAGAGGCAACAAGGCAGTCACTCTGTATTGATGGCTTCCTTTCTAAACTAGCCTCTCTGCTTCCTCCTGGTCAGGTAACCCGGAGCAGCTGTTCTTATTAAGGGGTTAACCTGTTCTGAGGGATTGTGTGCCATTATTAAGGATGGAGATATATACATACATACATACATACATACATACATACATACATATATTCCCTGCTCACCCCTATGGATGGTACATGTCTTCCTCAGTCTCAGACCCTCTACCAGAGGCCTGGGAGTTTGAGGGTTCTATGTAGTGTCTTAGCTATTCTTAGCACTGCACTCTTCTGGACAGATTGTGTTGCTGAACCACTAGAGATGCAATTGAAAAGGGCTTTAAAGATGCAAAAAGGGGTTTGAGAGCCCCAAGTTGCTAAGATCTGTTCTAGAAACAAAATATGTATTGTCCTGCTGAACTGTGGCCCATCTCTAGAAGTGGCAGCCCTGGCTGTAACAGAAGATTACATGTATCAGTACTCAACTGTTAACCTGTACTGTTTAACTTCAGTTCTGGTCAACCTGCAGTGAGGTTAATGTAGCCATTATGTTAGACAATGAGGTGAACATTTTTTCAGTTCATGCATTTCATCGTGCTCAAACATCTCATGATCTTTTGAAATCTTGTTTGGAAGAACTTGCCATACTCATTTTTAGAGTGCTCATGCTAATTTCTAAGGTCATAAACTGGATTAGAGATTTTAACTGGTATAACTGTTCATTCCTCCAGGAACTATAATTCTTTGATAGCAGAACTAGAGATTTCAGCTGGAGATTTCAGAGCTTCTCTCCAAACTATAATTTTGGGATGTTTTGGAGAAAATCCTGGCAATTAAAGTAGGATGAAAGCCTATAAAAACTATGTAACAAAGGCTACAACTGCCTCTCATGGTTTAGCTTAGTGGTAATTTTGTGAAAGCAGCTTGTTTTGAGGAGGGCAATTGCAAAATGTTGAAGTGAAGTTTCATACATGAAAGGACCATGTCAACATCATTAATAAAATCATACTGAGAAAAATAACACATTGGTTTTTATGAGAGAAATAATATAAGGGCCTCTCAGTCTGTAGTCTTAATCACATTATCCAGAAAGTAATGGTTATATTCCCAGATGACAGCATCTAGTCAATCTTGGCTGATCCTGAAAAAACTAAGGAAAACACTTGGAAATCCTAGGCCTATAAACTAGACTGCAAAATCAAAAAAATATCCCAAAAGAAGGTGATAGCAAACAACTCCATATTGTGGTCAGGAAAATAACTTGGACATGTCAATGTAGTCATCATGAGTCAAGTTTAATTTGAAGACTTCTCAAAAGTCAACAATACAAACAAATGTAAGTTCTAGGTAAACATGGAAGCATTTGTTTATACGGATGTAAGAGGATATTTTACATTAAGCAATAGACCATCTGGCATATGGTTCAGCTGTGATTAAAAGAAAAAAAACCCATTGCCAATTAGAGAACATTTAATTCCCAAGCTAAAACATATGCAATAAAGCAGTGAATGTTATTCCATGAAAATGTTTGTGCGTATATCAAGCTAGGGAATGATGAGTAAAAAGAAAGGTCCTGAGTCCCTGAAAGCGGTGGTGATGGGAGTTAGAGCAGAACACACCCAGAGTAGAGTTAGGCATGCAAACTAGGTAACGGACTGCTTTCTAACACAAGGCTGAATGGAAAAGAGAAAAATGCTCATCTTATGAGACCAGGCAAGGTTGCTGTTTTATCCTGGCCTGTTTATCTAGAAACCCTTAAACGAGGGATTGGCAATTTTTTCTGGTCACATTTTTTTTGTTTCCTTCTTCAGTGGCTGCAGGGAATATGGCAGCAGCATGAAGGTATCTTTATCTAGTAAGTGGATAGGCCAACATTTTTTGTTATTTGAAAAAAATCAGAGAACCATGCTGCCAAATTTCAGCCACATGATCTCAGGGCAAGATTTCCTTAAGTAGAGAGAACAAAGAAGTAAAGCCTGGGGGAGGGGCATCTGCTGAGGGGGCGTCAAAAAGTCAGGATGGCTACTGCAACCACACAGTCAAAGCCCTTCCTTTTCATGTGCATCAGCCATCTTGACTCTCCCTCCCCATGGATGCCCCTAACAGAGATGGTCAGTTCTACACCCACTTAACTTGGGAATAGGCTCCAATGTTCTACTTTATCCAAAAGGACAATTTTGGGTAGACCCAAATAGGATTACACTATGATTTCCAGATAAGCACATGGACTACCAGTATTCTTTGCATGGATCCAGACCAGCATATGGTGTTTTTCACATCTTCACTATATTCCATTTTAGGCATATGATACAATTATTTTGTTATCTGCATTGAGCAGATGCACCTCCCTGATTCTGCCACACCAAGACACCTAGAAAAACCAGGAACTACAATAGAAGATAAATAATTTGTAGTGTTAGAAGTGTGATATAGGAGAAAGTTGAATGAGCAATCTTTTAGAGAGAGAAAAAAATCCATTTTATGCTATTTTAAATTTATAAAAACTCCAGCTCTCTTCCTCAAGCAAGATGTTTCAAGGTTTTATGGATAGGGAGGAGGACAAAGCTCCTTTGTTTCTCAAATTACAGCTAGTAATTCTTGACACCACTTATGAAGTTGGTCACTTTCAAATACCAGAAGTGAACGTGAACCTGGTATGTGTAACCAGGACCTACTTGGGTGAGGATGGGGATATGGCCCCATTGGAGATTCATCCTTCAGGCTATCAGGTTCTTTAGTAGATGTGACTCCAAGGCCAGGGAACAGAGGTAGCTATATTCCTGTGTGAGACATTCGCTGTAATCAGTGTCCTGCTCCACAATGATTGGATGCATGTATTTGTATTTGAGGATGGGACATAGAGAGTTTAGGGATTCTGGTATACCACCCAGCCTGCTACCCACACAGTTTCTTCCTGACCTCCTGGATACAGGACTCCAAGGTCTTCATAGCAACTGTGCACCTTTCCCAGTTGATAATAGACCCAATTCACATAGATGTTCATACACCAGATCAAGTTTTCACCTTGGAGCAGATGGTTTATAACCTGAAGTTGGAAGACATTGTTGTAAGATGTTTATAATGGACAGATCATTTACTGATCAATATGTGGCTCATTGGCAGTTGAGGATCAATTAGGATGGTCTGTCCCAGACACTTTATGAATCTGATTAGTTTTCAACAGGTTTTCAGGTTTGGGAATTTCCTAGTGATGTCGCAGGGAGTTCCATCAATCTTCTTGTTGACCTCTAGAATGCAGAGATAATGAAGTGTTGGAGGTGACTACTCACAAGTGGTCTCTGTTTGCCAATTCTGGCAATCCTTGGCTTACCAATGCAGAAGAAATGTTTAGACCACCACTAAAGAAAGACAAGAACCAAGAATGACCAAACACAAAAAGAGTTCAGGTTTTGATTCAATTTGTGGCAGCAGAATGTCATTCAGTGGCACTATTGAAGATGGTCTATGCCCTGCTGGGAAACAATGGGCAGGACAATCTTCCATCAGCCTCTTGTGAAATATTTGTTAGATATTTTCCCCAAAAACTGCCATTTTTGACATTCTGGTTTAGTAGCACCTTTTCTAACACATTTTAAGGCATAAGCTTTTGTGATTCACTTCATCAGATGCATAGAGACAGATGACAGTCATCTGGAGTCCGGTTTAGATTCCATCTGGGAAGCTTCAGATCAGGTGATTGTGTCAATGTCCTATGAAATAGTTTTGAATTCATTTCAGTTTGTGGATTCCAAGGAAATGGATAGGGTTGTCTGCAACAGTAGTGAACTAGTCATGTTACTGAATACCTGTAGGTTGACTGATTGACTGATTACCCAAATTTGTATACTAACAATATCAAGATTCTGGATAGTTTAAAATAAAGAGACTAGGCTTGCTCAGACATCCTTAATTCTTAAATGTCTGGCTGAGCAAGACTGTTCTAATCATCGTCCTAAAGCTCAGCAGGGAAGGAGCCAATTTCACTTGGGGGTGAGAGGGGAGTTGCAACAGAGAAGATCTGATCCTAGGCCCCTACCTTTCAAACTCACATGTGGTGGGAACGCTAAGCATTGC